GATGAGTTAATAAGGAATAAAGAATTCTTTTAAGATTTCTGTCGCGGTTTTTGTCTGTGTAAAATAGGGCTGAAAATCATACAATGTAAATCTGGCTTAATTCAAGCGGCAAGAACTACACCACAGCCAATCATATGTGATTGTATGTGTTAGCTTCTGTGTTATTGTAGTATGTGTCTATTCTCTCAGGCTCCATCCACATTAATCCAGATAGATCTGAAAACTGCATTTTAATTTGAAACCATTGGCATTTTCAGACATAAAAAAAAAAAAAAAAAACGCTCGTCCACACTGAAATGATTGAAAATGCTTACATCCCTATACTGTGCATGTGCACATATGTAAGAAGCTTTGGGCTGTATCATTTCCATCAGGTGTATATTTAAAAATGAAATCTTTTCAAATTTATGCACCTGGGAGAACATTTCCAAAAAGCTTCCTTTCTGCTGGACACAAATGGCGTCTCAGACTCGTAGAGAAATGTAGAGAAAAAGATGCGTTTTCAAATTCATCCAGATTAATGTGGACATAGCATCAATTCTGAAAGAGTCCAATTTGCAACAATTTTATCAAACCACTTGCATTAACTTTATTAAATGTTTCATTTGATTGAAAACAATGACCATCTCCACAACTAGCTGGAAAACAACTTTGGAAAACAGCATCCCTGAGAAACTGCCTCCAAATAATGACACTCAACTGGGTCAACTCTTTAGGGATCTCATCAGTTTTTGACCTTCTTACCAAATGACTCTGGCCTGCTATGGTGATATTAATTACTCGTGTTACGTCTTACGCGTATAACATGGAACAATTCAGTGGAATATCAATGTTATAGCAGGCAAGTGGCCCAGATTAGATCAGACCCATTAAACCATTCAATTAAAAATACATTCAGTAGCTGAGCTTAGCACAACACCTGGTCATCTGTGCATTGGTTCTCTGTTCCCTTTTCCACCCCACCAGGGGATGCTAGACAGAAGACCATTTTAGAGAATCAGATTTTCTGTGTAGATTGTTTAATTTTATTTTCCGGTTTCACTCTAGATTTACATATATCTTTTACCACCACTTCTGGTTTCACTCAAATGTTTCAACTTTACTGAACAAAGATCACAGTAATGAGGGCTTTAAAAATGTGATGCCAAAAAGTACACCCTCTGACATCTATCTATATATATATATATATATATATATTCAGATTGATGAGTGAATAAGTATGTGGTAATGTTTTGAAAAAAGTGTAAAGTTGGTGATTTGTTTTTTCAGATAAGATATATGGAGCCAGGTTATTCATTCACAAACAAAACGTATTGCCTTTTATGGATATATTGTGAAAATTCATGCAGAAGAGAGCTGTGGCCTGAGACTGGTGCAAACAATGGACCTATTCCTCCTATAAACTCTGGTGCTAGACTGCCACATTAACCCTCCTTGACCCTCTATTCTCACCTGTAATAAGACAGAGGACAAGGCTTTTACTTACACACACACACACACACACACACACACACACACACACACACACACACACTACAACACAGAAGAGCAGTGCAATAGGCCTTAGAGTGCTCATACTCATTAGCCCAGCATCACTACCCCATGGAGGTGTGTGTGTGTGTGTGTGTGTGTGTGTGTGTGTGTGTGTGTGCGTGTAGGCTGAGCAGTTATTAGTCGGCTGGGTGAAATCTCCGGTGGCACACACTCAGATGAAAGAGAAGAAAAGAGAAAGTAAGATGTGTGACAATGTGGTGGTGTGGAGGCCAGCTGCTCAGGTTCGGTGCGTGTCTGTGTGTGTGTGTGTGTGTGTAAGTAAGTGAAGGTGGACTGAGAGGGGCCATCAGTTCACAGCCTGTGAACCCCTCATTAGGCTCTTTCCCACCGAGAGAGAGTAGAGCGAGGAGGGTGGGTGGGGTGGGGTGGGGGTAGCTGTCAGTACTCATGATCACAGTCCCTGTCTTTATACACACACACGCACCCACACTCACAGACGTCACACTCATTACATGCAACTGCCACATAGTGGCAAGACACACAGTGGCGTGTGCGTAGCTGGCACACATGGAATAGGTCTTTTGAACACGCTCGCTCTCTATCTCTGTCTCTGTCTCTCTCTCTCTCTCTCTCTCTAGGTCTCTGGCTGAGTGTCAGTGGCTGTGGGAGTTTGGTGCTGAAGTGAAATCTGATAATCAGGAGTGACAGGCTTGATAGAATAGGAAAAAGCTTAAGCAAGAGCGAGAGAGGGACAGATGGGGTGGATGAAGGGTTAGAAATAAAGAGAGCGACAGAACTATTTATCAATAAAGTCTACATTCCTTATACCTGTGCAGAATTTCCATTAAGGGTTAACTTTTGTTACAGATTGAGTGCAATTGTAAGACACTTGTTGTATTTATCATACATTCTGAAAGCCAAACATGAATATTTTGTATGGATTTGAATGAGGATATCCATACAAAATATTGTTTTTTATATTGATGAAGTTGTAAGAAAATATATAGATGCTAATCCACTTGAAAAAAAACCCCAAAACTACATATATGTTTAAATAAATATTTTTATTTCATCACCAGTAAAACAAGATTAAAAAGAAAGGGCTTTTCTTTCTTCATTCCACACAATAAATGTATTTCTAATAGGTTATTATTATATATAATACATAAAAAGACTCAATTTGTATTATACTCAAAATGTAGCTAATATTTTATATTTATAGTATTTAACATTCCATTTAACATTTTGTCATTCATTCATGTTAACATTTTTACATTTTATTTTCATGAAATATATGGTGTGAGAATTGCTTTTTTTTGTTTTGTTTTTTAAATTAAGCAAATAGACAAACAGGATATTCGGCAAAATTCATATTACACATTTTTCAAAGAGAGAGAAAATAAATAATGAAAGGTTTATCTCATTGCATTTTAAATAATATCTTCAATATGTTTAACTTTAAATTTAATAATATAATCTTGAATTATAAATATCAACTCTTTCATTCATTTACTCATCTTCATTAAGCACTTATCCCTCGTCTGGGTTGTGGAGGATCTGGAGCCTGTCCCAGGAACACTGGGTGTGAGACTGGATTAATCATGGGTCCTACACTCATTAGCACACACCTTAACACGTAAATTATAATAGCCAGTCCACCTACTGCCAATGTTTTGGGAAGTGTGAGGAAAACCGGACAACTTGGAGAAAACCAATGCAGACACATCAACTAATTAATATTTTGTATTAATCTCTGACTGATAAGATTACACCAGCTCTTGGTAGTAAACCCAGATTTTTGCTCTTTACTATATGTCCATCTTTGTTCACAGGAACCACCGCGAGCAGTGAGAGCTCTCAGGATAGAACGAGAGTGTGTATATAAGCACATGTGTGTTGAGAGCAGCAGGGTCTCTCTTCCGATGTGTGTTTTGCAATAGAGATGTCTGGACCCTCTTTCTCTTATTGATTGCCTAGCGCTTTGAGAACAAAGAGTTAATCCCTGAAAGGCAAAATAGTACAGATTTCGTCTCAGTCATGAAAGTTTAAAATGTCTTCTTTTTTTGTTTGGTCCTGTGAGACCTGTTCTCAGTGTAGCTGGTTGTGTGACCTGGGGCACATTGGAGATCCAATACTGAACCCTATTCATCCTACATTGAACCAGTCAATACCTATTATTAGCTACTGTTGGCCTATCCGCTCAGCACTGGCAGAGAAAAAGTAGGTTCTCAGATTGGCCAGTAGATGAAGGGAAAGTTAAGACCCCATCCAATTCCTCTTTGTTAGGCCTGGAAATACTTCTGCTGAAACTGCGCTATAATTGCACAGCAAGGCGAGAAGCTAAATAACACATAAAGCAAACAATTCTCAAAGACTCAAAGCAATGCTCTTATATTCCTCTGGAAATATGTGTATAATAAGAAAGAACAATGCTAATCATGAATACCAATCATGATGAAATGCCACTGTGATTACACTCTTCATATTACACTGAATATCATTGTGTAGTGTTAATTGGACTTTTATTTTCTTATGCTGTATTCCCATAAGAATTCTTCTAATAACTGCTGGATTGTTGATCATGAAACAATGTTACTTTCAGCTTTGTTCTGAAATAGTGTTGTGTATGGTGGAATATGTGTTGAGGTGGCTGGTCTGCTCATTCTTGTTCCTCTGGGCGGTGTAACACAGTCCAGCCCAGTGTGATGAGTAATGTAGCACCAGCCACGCCAGTGACAGTATTGGGCCACTGCTAAAGCCCGAATAGAAAGGAAAGACCTTGTTTGCTAATAGGTAAGAAATTGTAGGTTTAATTATAACAGCAAGGTAATTACAATAAAGAAAACACCCAAACTTCAGAGGAGGAAAATGGCTGGAGAATCCCCCTTGAAGAAATAGAGACACATTGCTATTGTAGGGGAAAACCCCTCCCCAACATGGATTTTAAACTGATGGTACTCTTAGTCCATGATCAAGTGAACTAGCATGAGGATGTGTTTTGATAGAGACTAGAAGCACTTCTGTAAAGCAGAATGTATGGTTCACTTTTTATGCGTACGCTAGGAACAGCATACAGTATGCGTGGTGCAAATTTAATCAGCAGAGTACACGCTCTGTATGCACAGGTCGCACATGTGCATTTAATTATTTTACACTATTTAGTTCTTCCACAAGGTGGCAACAGAGACCCAGGGCAGTTGATTCTCAAGGTAGCTGAAGAAAAAATGGAAGAGACGGAAATGAGTACAGGTTAGAAAGTATCCGCATTTGTATAACTCTAGTCTTAAAGTGTATAAGGACTTGCATATGGGTGCTAATCGTGGCGAGAGATTGCCCAAGCACTGTTCATTGTGTTGTTGTGATTCTCCTTCTTGGTCACACCAAAATACCTGCTTTACTGGCCTGTACTGACTGTTGTAGGCCAGGAGGGTAGTGTAAGTTGTCGTAATGTGCATGTGTCAACCGCCTGTATACGCGTACATTTCAAATATACATTGAAAGGGGGGCGCAGGGTGGCTTAGTGGTTAGCACGTTGGCCTCACACCTCCAGGGTCTGGGGTTCGATCCCCGGGATATGTGTGTGCAGGTTTGCATGTTCTCCCGTGTTGCGGGGTTTCCTCCGGTACTCGTTTCCTCCCCCAGTCAAAACATGCATGGTAGGTTATTGCAGCTTGGTAATGTCCGTAGTGTATAATGGGTGTGTGAGTATGTTGATTGTGCCCTGCGATGGTGTACCCGCTTGTGCCCGATGCTTCCTGGGATAGGCTCCAGGTTCCCCGTGACCCTGAAGCAGGAATAAGCGGTTGAAGATGGATGGATGGTATACATTGAAAGGCTATGCGTACGCATAAAAAAATTCTAAGTATACCAGAGGCTTAAGTTGCATCTGGGTAAGAGAACAGGCTAAATGCTGTAAATGTAAATATGGTGCAATAAGATCACTGATCCTACTGGGCAGAACTTGTTTATTATTATATTTATGTGCTTATCCTTCTATCCATCCATTTTCTATACTGCCTATCCTACAGGGCTGTGGGAAATCTGGAGCCTATCCCTGGGAGCATCGGGCACAAGGTGGGGCACACCCTGGATGGGATGCCAATCCATCTCAGGGCACAATCACATACACATTCACACAACCATTCATACATTTTAGACACTTTGGACATGCCAATCAGCCTACCATGCATGTCTTTGGACTGGGGGAGGAAAACCCCACATCAGAGGTAGACCATACAAACTCCACACACAAGGCAGTGGTGGGAGTCAAACCCCCAACCTTGGAGGTGTGAGGTGAACATGCTAACCACTAAGCCACTGTGTGCCCTTGTGTGCTTATCTTAGCTTCCAAATTTGATAGCAGTGCTGTGTGATAGCAGCAAGGCTACATGACTAATAAAAGGCTTGTATTTTCTTTCTTTTCTCTTCTGAAGCTCAGTGTTTATGTTGCCTGCAGACACAGCTAACTTAAAACATCTCTTTAATATCATTATTGAGTATGTTATTCATAACATACAGTGGGGTCCAAAAGTCTGAGACCACATTGTAAATCTGGGATTTTTTTCTTTCATTTAAACTTGAAGAATTGTTTTTGTGAAATATTTTGAAAAAGAAAGTAAATTCAATTTCTTCAGTATCTTGAATATTCTATGTCCCTAATGTAAGCTAATTTGTGATATTGACCATGTTAGCTGCTTTGTACAAAAGGTCAGATTTTCCTCATGCCTAATTGTGTAGACAACACTCCGATGGATTTGAACTAAAATTGATCATACAGTTTTGCACAAACTTGTGGAGTCCATGCCAGCTCAAGTGCACACTGACATCAAAGAAAAAAAAATGGGATGTACCAAATACTAAGAAACTCTGAAATCCATGTAAATATTTCAAGAATCACTCAAGATGATGCAAATAATATTATCCGTAATTAAAAATTTTATTAAAATAGAAAAGAATGCAAAATAGAAGCATTTTCACTCGTGCACTCAGACTTTTAGACCCCACTGTGTAAATATAAGCACAATGATCAAAATGGTTAAACTGAACACAGAATTTGTTCAATAATGGTCTAAAATCAAGACCATCATTCAGGAACTGACTGTTTCATTGATGTTTCATTCCATCGAAAAGTCAAAATCTTACAACAATATCAAAATCGTCAAGATTCCTTTAGATTTCTCCTGCTGCATACAGTAAGATCACAGAGTACAGAGAAACTGTTTAACTACAGCATTTCCTGGCTGTGATTCACAATCCATGATCTGAGTACTTATTGTATGCAGTCCTTCTGAGCTACTAAAAACTCTGTGATAGGACTTTAACGTGCCCTAATCTGATCTCAATACACTCTCTGTGCAAAAAGCAGAACTTTTATGACAAATCAGTTGAAACACATCCATGTGCAAGGCTGCAGTTACTACTGTATGTTGCCCACATGTCTAAGTGTACACATAAACATGTCCATACGACTACTTGGGAACTATACAGTCTCTGTCATGTCAAAACTCAGTGTGGCATCATCAGTCTTCTTTCATCTCACATGCCTTCATGCACAGCCTAAGTGACGGCTTATGCTGCATATGCTTTTAAACTTGTCCAGCTTTGGCACTCCCTGAATAGCAGCTGCTTAGCACAATGTGAGGACGAGGGATGAAGGGGCTCACAGGCACCTCTTTTTGTCAGCACCACTCACCTTCAAATGCTTGCCGCTGGTCTCAGAACGCTGGCTCTAACCTCTACTCAAGCCTGGACCAATCCATCGCTGTGACATGGGCCAACTAATATGTGTGTGTGTGTGTGTGTGTGTGTGTGTGTGTGTGTGTGTGATAGAGAGAGAGAGAGAGAGAGAGAGAGAGAGAGAGAGAGAGAGAGAGAGAGAGAGAGAGTGGGTGAATATGCATTCACAGCCTACTGACTGGGAACTGGGAGGCAACAGGGAGGAGATACCTCATACAACCTCATACAGATGAGCCTAAGATATTAATTAAGTGGATTACTAATGTTTCTTTTCTCACACAGAAAGTGAGCAGTCCTATAAACTCAACATGCGTTCTTTTCTTTCCCTTCTCTTTTCCTGTAGTCTTTGTAAGCCCTGAGAGAAGTTTTAAAGGGCAGGAGGTTCCTAAGGACTGTGAGGAGCGCCAGAGCCAGGTCCAGGCCATCAACATCATTATCCCAATTAAAGGCTCTACATATTGTCCACACATGCAGGAGATATACTGTAGGAAATAAGTTGAGTAAAAAATGCCATGCAGAGAAGCATGTTCTTTATTTGCATTTTTAGGGTTATAAATAATGGCGAAACTGTTTTTAGTAAATGTATTCAACTCACTTAATTTTTGAGAAACTTATCGAGATCCAACCTCATAAATTGGTTATCTCACAAGAGACACTAAAAAGTCAACAGAATCAATAGAAACATCATTTAAACACGAAGCATTGAAGTTCATCGACTCAAATCCATCAATAAAAGACAAATAAACATAAATATAGAAGCAAGTTCATGCAGCTTGATAGCATCATGTCACTGAAGGCTGAAAAGTTCTCTGAAGCAAAGAAGCAAGCACATCACTGAATGATTTACAGTAAATTGTCACGCTTGTGGTCTATACATGTAATATTGACCTATCATGTTTTATTGCTCGGAACATCTCTCAGTGGTTTTGGCCATACATCTATATAAGTAGTGTCCTGCCATGGTCTCGGGCTGTGTACACAGTGTAATAGACGTTTGTCACTATAATGCACATTATTCGTTCAAAGATATTACCCATGATACAGCATTTCCAAACATGTTACAGGGAGTAATAGGGTTTATTAATTTTTTTTTTTATTATTATTTTTTTATAAACAAAAACATCATTGTGAACATATACCATGCTGACAGTGACTGAATGGATGTACAGTAACATGCACTAGCACATATAGTAGGTGCTGAGACACACACACACACCACACACACACACACACACACACAGCGAGAGAGAGAGAGAGAGAGAGAGAGAGAGATGTCCATACACATACTGACTGAGCCGTTGTGACATGGACAGCGCAACAGACTGTCACTTCAACTTCACCTGTAAGCAGGACATTGGCCACGATGAAACACACACCATGGATCTTTCAACACACTGTCCTGGGAGAACATCACACTCTCATATGGAGCTGAGGTGAGAGAGCCTGTCAGAGCAGTTACAGAGCTAATAGAGCTAACAGCCAAGCAGTTCAACTGGTACAACAAAACAGAAACAGATCATTTACTCTTGACTCCTCCACTATACACACTTTATATTAAACACTATACACTATGTGTAGCACATACAGTTAACAAAAATTAAACAACATCCAAAATGAAATATGCACTTCTTTCAAGTAATGCTTTTCACAATACTGTAACATTCTCAAAATATGGTGAGTCTCTGACAAGCAAAATATTGGAAGAATATATATATATATTTTCCATATTCTGTTTAGGAAATTGTAACTGTGATGAAATTCTCTTTAAACGAATAACCAATATTCTTGATCTTTAATGTGGTGCCATTGCGTGCTGTGGAGTAAGACCCTGGACACCAGTGACAAATTTACATTAAAGACATATTTTCCAAGATGCCATGAGCAGCATCTCAAAGCACGCATAATTTATCACAGGTTATTATTCTATTAAAGCCTTATTTTCTCCCAAGTAAATGTTATTTTCCAAAGACAATCCAATCTGAATTATCCAAAAGAAAAAATTATTTACAAGTAAACAAATAACCTATGAAGTGTGGAACTCTACTGGTGCTAGTTCAAAAGGCCACTCATTCTTATGAACTTTGACCCTAGAAGGACTAGACACAACTTTTTTTTTTTTCAAAAGACAAGTTTTTAAAGTAGCTAATAAAAGAACATTGAAACTGTTTATATGGTTGACATCATACATATATGTTCAGCCTATGACATTAAAATGTATAAGGAATAATTGAAAAAAATTCTACAAGCCTTTAAATGTTATACAACTGGCTTGCAGGACAAGCTGGTTTTCCAGCACTTGGCATTTCAAAAGTAAACAACAAATAATATTCAATCCACTTTTATTCTTTAGACACCATTAAAGTTATACAGTGATGTGGGACTTCCTGAAAAATGTTAGACTGTCAAAAATCATAACCATATTCTGAAAATGACTTTGTAACTTTCACTGTACTGACTGGATACCATAATTATCAAAATGTTACTGTCTGATGTTTCCCAGAGGAACTTGGGTTTCCTTTACAGTCTGGTTCTTTCAAGGTTCCTTCTGTATCATATGCAAATTCGAGCACAGTGAAGCACATTTTGTTTAAATATACATTATAAAAGTAAGTAGCATATAGGGTTTTTTTTTCTCTTCTGGTCATTGAACAAGAGAAGGAAAAACATGGTTATACTTTTCTACACTTGAGCCAACTTGTCCATCAAGCAGCTATGAATACAAAAAACTTATACTGCCTTCAAGGCAAAGTTGCAACATATAATTCTCAGACTACAACTGATAAAAAACACTGAAACATCCTCTCAGCTTAAAATTTCATCTAACCAACATGCAGTAATCTTCTG